TCTCACCTATATCTCTGCTCATCTTCACATCTACATTCGCAACTGCACATCTACATCTCTGCTCATCTTCATCTTCACACATCTACATCTCTGCTCATGTTCACATCTGCACATCTACATCTCTGCTCATCTTCACATCCTCACATCTACATGTCTGCTCATCTTCACATCCTCACATCTACATCTCACATCTTTACCTCTCATCTACATCTCACAGCTTCACCTCTCGCTCTTCTTAACTTTCTTTCTCAAGGCCGGGGGCAATGCCGCCGGACCACCACGAAACGCAACCCTCTGCGGAGATCGTGCGCGTCGGATGCGCGAAATGCAGGCAAGAGTGCGATTTGGTCCGGTCCGGCGCAACCCTCTGCGGAGATCGCGCGTGTCGAGTGCGCGAAACGCAGGCGAGAGTGCGATTTGTGTCTGTCCGGCGCAACCCTCTGCGGAGATCGCGCGCGTCGACTGCGGGGATCGCGCGTGTCGAGTGCGCGAAATGCAGGCGAGAGTGCGATTTGACCCGGTCCGGGGCAACCCTCGGCGGAGATCGCGCGCGTTGAGGGCGCGAAATGCAGGCGAGAGTGCGTTTTGACCCGGCGCAACCCTCTGCGGAGATCGCGCGTGTCGACTTTGTAGTGCAACTGTAGTGCGCGAAGCAATCTGTGTAGCTGGAAGCTGAGAACTGGCGACTTTGTAGTACAACTTGAGTACGCGGAGTATCTGGGGAGCTGGAAGATGAGAACTGGAGACTTTCTATAACGCCTTTGGTACGCGAAGTATTTGGGGAGCTGGAAGATGAGAACTGGCGACTTTCTAGTACGACTTTATTACGCGGAGTATCTGGGGAGCTGGAAGATGAGAACTGGCGACTTTCTGGTACAACTGAGAACTGGCGACTTTGTAGTAACTTTAGTACGCGGAGCAATCTGTGGAGCTGGAAGCTGAGAAGTGGCGACTTTGTAGTACAACTTGAGTACGCGGAGTATCTGGGGAGCTGGAAGATGAGAACTGGCGACATTCTAGTACAACTTTAGTGCGCGGACGGAGTATCTGTGGAGCTGGAAGCTGAGAACTGGCGAAGTTGTAGTATAACTTTAGTACGCGGAGTATCTGGAGAGCTGGAAGATGAGAACTGGCGACTTTGTCGTACAACTTTAGTGCCCGGAGCAAGCTGTGGAGCTGGAAGCTGAGAACTGGCGACTTTGTAGTACAACTTTAGTACGCGGACGAGTCATCTCTCGCGGCTGAGTCATCTCTCGCGGCTGCTCTGGCACCCCTGCAGCTGAGTCACGTCTCCCGACCACCCGGCTCTCTTGAGAGGTTGACAAATTTTAGCTATTTTGCTTACTCATAAGTGGCTGCCACAAAAGAGTCATCGTGACGTTAGTATGTGTGTACTTCACCTTCATGGCAAACGATGTTCGCTTGGAATACACGAGTCGCTTGTCATGATCGTGACGTCGTTTACTCTCAGGTCGCCCTGTTCGTGGAAACTTCAGTGTGAAATGTACATTCTTTAGTTCTATTTGAACCTCTTCAGCGTTGTACTTGCACAACTAAGGTTGACGTTGCACTGCCGTTGCATCGACGCATCTACGTCTACACCCCCTCACCTCTCTACATTTACATCTTCACACGCTCACATCCGCAGATCCACCTCTCCACCTCACTACACCCACACATCTGCACATCTATATCACATCTGTACATCCACACTGTCGCTCCTTCACATCTGTCCTGTCTTTCTTTCTTTCTACATATCTTTTCTCTCGTCTCTGCGCATATAGATCTTCGCACGCTCACATCCACAGATCTACCTCTCCACCCATACATCTAAGAATCTACAGATCTATATCGCACCTGCACATCACACTGTCACTCCTTCACATCTACCCTCTCTTTCTCTCTTTCTATACATCTTTTCGACTCTCGGGCCAACCGTCGTCTAGTTGGTGTGTCTTTGATGGCTTTTGATGTGTTTTGAAGATTGATAAAGAGTTGTATCGTGTGTGTGTGTATGTGTGATTCTCCGTGCGGCTTCGGATGTAAGCAAACGCGATGCAGTTTATGCATACCAGGGGAGACTGCATTATTGACATCATGAATCATGGGTGTGTTCGTCCGTGTGTCCTGCCCGACCAAGACAGACAGACTGACAGGCCGAGACAGACACACTGACACAGACCGAGACAGACAGACGCACACACTCCGCGCGGGCGGCTTCGAGAGCGAAGCGCTGTAAATATTAATCCACGGATGGCACCAAAATATCATCAACGGCGCGATCAAAACCTGGTTTAGAATGTCCAAATAAAACCTGCCGACGGGGATCTAGCTCCAAGAAAAGTCAGAATACCCAACACCTGAACGCAATTGCCCCATCACCGCAGCTGCAGTTCTTTGCTGTGACCTGCCTGAGTGAATCATGGCATGACTCATTGGCTTTCAAATGAGATACAAGCTCGCCGATTCAAGCAGATTCAACTTCATTGAGCAATGTCCCATGTAGCTGAATGCCACAATCTCAAGCGAAATTGCCAACCACCCAAGCAACGGTACGCACCATGCTAAGTACTTCAAAGTGCTCCATACCGTCAACATCGCTGAGAAATACAGCAAGACATTTGGCAGCGCCCTCCCGAGTGACCCTCAAAGTTTCAGGAAACTCAACAAGTGCTCTCAATACCGCAGAAAGTCGTGATAAGTGTGCGAAAGACCACGGCCGTCTATGAGCCGTGGGACCAACTAAGCACCGGCAATGACTAGACTCAGTGGAACAAACCCGAGTCCCCACCAAACATATGCAGAGAACATGGAATTCTATATCTAAATGGAAGAGCTGGGAGGCATGTGCAAGAACTGAGCGTACCTGCGTGAAAGAGTTCATGGCCCTTCATGGCCATCCAACATGTACAGTTTGGGAGTAGCTCAATAAGTTCCAAACCCTCTCAAAGTCCCTTCAGCTCAGCTCCTTCAGTTCTCTCTCCTCATCATGAGCACTGCTGAGGACGAAGTCATTGCTCGCCTCTTTCAGCGCTTGAGATGCGTCCTGGCCGTTCTGAGCCGACGCCCGACCCCAGCAGCCTGGCGGGAGCCTGGCGGGAGCCTGGCGGGAGCCTGGTGCCACTAAGACCCATTAGAATTCAACCGTTTAGAATGCCCATTAGAAGCATTCTTCAGTTTCCATATGGTCATTCTTATTGCATGCACAGTAGAGTGTTCTTCAAAGCAAACAATGCTGGTGGTTGCCTGGTCTAACAGGGTCTAACCTTTGACGCAATCCTTGACGGAGCGCAGTAGCCGCTTTACGATCGCATCCATGCTGTCATAAAAATGAGCAGGTACATCAAAGGGGCTGCCGGAGCCAGAGCCTCAAACATGTTTGTTTATGTGTGTTTGTGTGGGAACTGGCTAGTTGAGGAAGATCATTGGCTCGGGCGGAAACATTTACAAAGACAAATCAGCCTGGTGCAGAAAGCCTTCAATCCTATAGACAACATGCTAACCTCCTTCAAGCATCTTCAAGCCCCAAACATCAGCTCCTGCTCATGAAGTCACTTAAGTCACTGGTAGCATCTGAAGTTAGTCGACTGTTTCTTAGTAGTAACAGGCTGGTGCCTTACTAGTAATAACAAGAAGCTGCTAGGGGCTCCTGGCCTTACTAGTAGTAACAAGAAGCTACTAGGGGCTCCTGGCCTTGCTAGTAGTAACAAGAAGCTACTAGGGGCTCCTGGCCTTACTAGTAGTAACAAGAAGCTATTAGTGTTTTCGTCAACGGATCTTGCTTTTCGTCAACAGAAGCCATCAAAGCTCCAGGGACCCATGTAGCCGGAGTAGGCGAAAACTCCAGCGCCCCAAAGTGCCCAACAGTCAGCGGTGGAACACCTAGGGCGCAAAACCACCGTAGGGCACCCTGTTAAAGTCTTAGCGTCCTCTTGTCATTACTAGTAAGGCCAGGAGCACCCCTAGTAGTGTCCTTGCTCCTAGTAGTAATGCCCTTTGTTACTAGTTACTAGTAGCTGGCAAAGCAGTCTTGTCCATCATACTGTCACACTCAGTGGAAAGCCCCTTTGGCGTTGCTACGGTCCGCTGCAGCTCAACACGTCAACAAGCCAAAGAGATGCACAGGCCGCTCTGGGGGATCGTGAAGTGCCACTCATCTGTGGAACGATCAGAGTCCTGGAACCTTTCTTTACCAATCAAGTGCTCAGGACGGGTGTTGCTCATCAAGTTGAGTATCATGTAAGAGGAGCAACAGCTGTGTCCTTTCCAGTTTGACAACAATTTAGAATAATAATGAATCATAATGATAGAAAATTAATTTGAACTTTGAGTCAAGGCACTGATCATCAAACTGCAGCAAGTATCGAGTAATTTCTTCCATTGGATGTGGTTTGAGGATGAAGTGATCATCCTTCAAGTGTTCGATACACATCGTCTCCAAACCAGCACGAATCCTTGGCAGAATACCAAACGGCATGAAAGGTATGGGTTCATCCACTGGTATTCAATACTGTTCGATGGAGTGAAGTTTCTGCCTACAGCATGACCAGTGAACCTTCGGATTTCTGCAGTCCCGAGACATCTTGTCCACCCATAGGCTATGCTCGGTCAGAGCCTTCTGCATCGGCAAGGATGTGAAGGGCTAGATGAGTTGGAATGCTTCAGTGGAAAGTTGGAAGTCGAACACCTGCTCTGCAAAGGTGTGTGCTGCGTGTGTGCTGTGTTGTGTGTGTATGTGTGTCGAAGTTGATGTCCAATCGTTAGCTCTATTCGTCTGCATTTCCGGCGTGTTTCGGAGAAATACTGTGGCGATTCACATGGCAGCAACCCCAACCATGTTGCTTGATCCAACTATATACCACGAGAAGCACAATCTGTAAATAGAACAAATGTCACACGTGTGCTCAATCAGGCTAGTGTTTTGACAACAAATGAAAGCAAAATCTATCAAAATCTACCCTCGCTGCTGTCTCAATACATTGGCACATTCAAATGCTCGCCTAGGACTGCCTTCATCACTGCCGAGGAAAGACCTAAATAAACACCAGCCATCTGCAGCACCGCGCCGCTTGAAACATGTTCACAAACTCTGAGGCTTGCACGGAGTTGTGCCGAAAACAACACTTCCTACAAAACCCTGAGCCAAACCAGGGCGCAAAGCAATCTGAAGCTTGCTTCTGAAAGTCTGGCTCGGCACTCGACACAGAACATGTTCCTGAACATGTTGAACCAAGAAAAAACATCTGAGCTCGTGTTTCAAGTTTCTTCAAGTCAAGCTTTTTCTTGATTCGAGGATGCTCTTTTGCGACTGAGAGAAGCCGGCCGGTGAGCCTTATGTTACAGCGGGGCTTTGGGACACAGAGGGGAATCCGCCGCTTGGGCATTCCGACTGGTTTGGCATGCACTTTGGCAACACAGTATTTCACTTAAGAGCATAAGCAATGCTCTTCTTTGCATCAGGAATTCTTCTTCCTTTTCGGAGAGCGGCTTCGTTTGGCCTTTCTGGCCTTGGGTTTAGGCTCTGGCTCGGCCGATTCACTAGGGGCGACCTCAGGCTTCTTCTTGCCCTTTTTCTTGCCGTCTTTCCCCTTTCCAGTCTTTGCCTCCTTGGTCTTGCCATCTTTTCCCTTTTTGGGCTTTTTCACGAGCTCTGGTGGTACTGAAGGATCCTTCATGGTCCAGTGTGATGGTGCAGCAGATGGTGCCACCGACGTACCAGGTTGGAACGGTGTCGGGGAGGGTGCAGCATAATGCGACGGCGAGCCTGCTGGGGAGCGACGCGGGTGCAGACTTAATCGTTTCGCCTCAGGGTGCGAGAGCTCAAAAAATTGAGGATTTGGTCGTGTCAAAGCTCTGGCACCCACAAAAGCACATAAGCTATAGCTATAGTAATCTATGTAAAGTTGTAAAGCCGCGTGAGCTACACCAGCGACTCCGGTCCCCATATTCATCAACCATAAAACAAAGAAGTCGTGACCTTCATTAGATAGGTTTGACCTACGACCAAGGCGTGAGAGAGATCTTTTTGTTATATAGATACACGAACAGCTCTGCTAGAGCAGCTCTGCCATGTCAGCTCCGCCTTCCTCTCCTTCTTCAGCTTCTTCCGACGTTTTCTCTCTGCCTCACTGTCAATTGAGCACGGGCTCGCATCAATTAGCCGCTTGCGCCGTCTCTTAATCTTTACTCCAGGCTCAGAGATCGGAGAGACACTTCGCATGATCTCCCGCATCTGGCTCGGTCCGACCAGCATTTCTCGTGTTGTCATGTGGGTTCGGAAAGTTCGTTCTGATGGTGCTACACTCGCAGCCGTGACCGCAATGCTCTTGCCAGCAATGGAGCGTCCGGCGATGCTGCGACCAGCAATGCTCATGCCTGCAATGCTTCTTCCGGCCACACTCCTGCCTCCACCGCTCAGCTTTCCAATGCTCTTTGCATAGTTGGTCCTTGCACTTGCAAAGGTTGCAGCATACGCTTCAGCTTGTGCACGTGCCAGTGCTTCCGTATGCTTTGCCAAAGCTGCTGCGGTGAGGCTGCCACCGTCCGCCACTGCAGGTTTGGGCTTCGCAGGTGCATCACCATCGACCGAGGAGTCCTTACAGTAGATTTCAACAATGTGATTCTCAGTGTTTATCCAGGATTCCAGTGTTCACATACACGAATCATAAAGAATTGGCGCAGGGTCAGGCTGTCCCTCTCACCCAACTTTCAGCAACATTCGAGAACAGGGCTCTCTCCTAGGTGGGAAGAAAAATGTAGAAAAGAAACATGAAGCCCTGAAACATGAAGTCCAGGAGAGGCTCAGGTCGTTCTCCTTGAGAGGGAGCCATAGATTCGCCTCGATCCCCTCCAGGTACAGTCTTACCAGGTCCCGTGGTCAAACTACGGACACTTGGGAGTGACTTGGCATCTTCTTCAACTGCAGGCTGTGAGTCCGCAGGTGCCTGCTCCTCAGTGTGTTTGGTAAGGGCTTCTTCCGTGAGTTCACCTTGGGCTGCTTGAGCTTCCTTGGGTGCCTCGCCCACCTCAGAATCCTCAGTCGACCCAAACATGTTCCTTCAAACAGTTCTGCTGAGAGCACCAAGAAAGCTTCCTAGCTTTGAGAGTATTGTGCTGCTGATGCACCAAACAACTACATGTACTTGCAAAGGTGATGGATTCATGATTTGCTCTAATCTTCAGAATGAAGTTTGGAAGTGGGACGCAAAATCACTGAGGCAGGGTCTGCATCCATGGTTTGATTCGAGTTTTGGAGACAGTCTGGAACACAGCTATGTCCAGGCTGGACATCTAGAACATCTCCAACGTTCCAAACCCCGCCATGATACGCTAGAATTTGAGAGCCCTATGGCCCTACGTCTAGAAGGGAGCTCCGCGCAAGCGAGCGTCAGGCTCTTCGGGCTCATCACCTCCAGGCACTGTCTTTCCAGGCCCTGTGGTCAAACTACAGCGACTCTGGACTGACTCCTGGTCATCTGCCGCCTGCGAGTTTGCAGGTGCCTCTTCGGTGCTCTTGGCCGCTTCCTCAGTGACACCCTCGGCTGCTTCGGCCTCTTTGGGAGCATCAGCATCCATTTCAGACTCCTCGGCGATTGACTATGAGGAAAGGATAGAAAAATGAGGGAGAGAATCCAAAAAACATATATATATATAATCAAACGTGCTTCTTTTGAAGGTAGACTGGAATGAACCTGTATACACTCTGTAGCCTGTATAGCCTAGAGTGTTTGAACCTATCATTCCTTTGAGGTAGGATTTGGTTTGTCAACAAGGAACACATTTAAAAATTGTGTAAAAGAAAGGATAAGTCAAATGGTAGGGCATGTTTAATGGAAAAACACTATTTAAAAGTGAAAAATATTCTATCCTCTACCTTATTGTTGTTCCTTTCTTTTTTCCCCGTTTTCTGTCAACCCTCGCCTCTGCAGCTTCGCTGGGGCGGGCATCTGCCGGCTCCGTATCTGCAGTGTCAGCGGCCTCGGATGTCAGATCGCTACGGAATTCTGTATATTATGTAATTATATATATATTGTGTATATAATATATAAGTATTGTGTGTGTGAATAGTAAAGACATGCTCTATTATATAATGTCTATGTCTTTACCCTTTCCAATGTCAACAGACTTGATGCAACTTCAGTCGGAAAATGCCCACACAAACCACCTCGTACATTCACTTGGGTTGATACAACATGGCTTGGACGCATTGACTCACCGTCTTGTGTTGAACAGCACTGAACACTGGTTGCCAACATTACAAACACTTGATATAAAACTCCCAGCAAAGCTGCCACATCTTGCTCTGCTGCTCCGTCTGCCTCCTTCCCTGTGTCGGGCTCCTTCTGCAACTCCTCCACGTTTCCAGGTTCTTTGTCGACCTCTTCGGCAGCTTTTTCCGGCTCGGCCAAAGTCTCGTCCTCTCGGTTCTCTTGGTCCTCGCGGCTCTCTTCCTCCGCTTCAGCCTCACTGGCACCCATGGCCTTTTGCAAGGCTCGCTGGGTCTCAGCATCATCTGCTTCATCTGCTTCATCTTCATCATCTTCAGGCACCTCTGTAGCGGGGTGCATGGATGATTCTGCGTCTCTGTAAGTTGCACTTCCATCAAAGTTTGCACTATCAGCTGGATCAGGTTGAACCTGTCTGTGTACCTTGCGCGTCTCCTCAGCCAGCTCATCTTCAAGCTCCCTTTCCAAACGCTCCCGCTCTTCTCGCTCTTTCCGTTGAGCCTCGGTTTCTTCGAGATCCTCGGACTCTTGCTCTTTCACCCTTGTCTTGCCCTTCTTCCTCTTGGCAACCTCTTCATCTGCATCCTCTTCACCCGCGTGCTTTCGCCTCTTGTCCTTCTTCTTCTTCTTGCGCTTTGAAGGCTCAGCATCAGAGCCTTCAACCCTCTTCTTTTTGCGTTTCAGTTGCAGATCGGGCTCCTCTGCCTCCTCCATCTTCACTGCAGGCAATGGCTTCACGTTGCGGTGCACTGCAGCCCTGCCAGCTGAGAAGACCTTGTGTGTCCGAAGAGGAAAGGCCGCAGGCTCCTGCCCAGGCATTGGTGGCACCTTGGTGCCCATGAAAATGCTCAGGAGCCGGGCGGACACGACCAGCTGCTTGGTATTTCTCCGGCTATTTAAAGGCATGAGAATTTGCCATCCATGAGGAAGAATCCGCAATTGACTCTTCTTCAGTGGCTCCCATGCTGTTGCACCCTTCTCTGCAGCATGAGGACCGGGGCGGACGGCCGTGCCATTCCGGGATTCATCACGGATACAGAGTGGGCCATCCTTTGGCAGGTGGATCTCCGCGTGGTACACAGACACACCATCGAAGTCCAGCACCACATCGTTGGCCACACCACGGCCGATTCGCAAAACGCCACCAGGACGCAGCGTGAAGGTCTGGGGCGAGCCTGTACTATCTCTGCAAATTGTAACGTCACATTTCTCCGCCATCACGGCGGTTGCTACCTTGATTCTAAAATGGCAAAGGTCACAGAAGCAAACATTGACCAGTCTGGTGTGCTCCATCAACACATATCTGTCCTTCCTTCCAGACTCGGCGGGCTTACAAAAGTTGAGTGACGACAACATCCTCTCTGTGCAAAAATATCTTGGAACAAGCCCTTTCTGCGCTCACATCGGTCGGATGGGCTGCAGCTTCGCCTGGGCGGTGAAAGCTGGTGGGCCAAGTCAGACTAGTGCCCCGCGGTGCCCTGCGGTGCCCCGGGGATTTCATTCAAAAGGCACAGGAGAATTTAGTATCAAAACCAGGTACAAGCACCAAATCAAGCATAGACAGACTGAAGAATGACTTGGCATGACTTGGCAAAAAGCTGCAACTCGTCCAGCAAGCACTAAACGTCGGAAAGAAGCAAATGATGACAATGACGATGACGATGACGATGACGATGACGATGATGATGACGATGATGATGATGATGACGATGACGGCGATGATGGCGATGATGGCGATGATGGCGATGATGATGATGATCATGATGATGATGATGATGATGATGATGATGATGATGATGCTGGTGGTGGTGATGATGATGATGAGGATGATGATGAGGAGGAGGAGGATGATGAGGAGGATGAGGAGGATGAGGATGAGGATGAGAATGAGGATGAGAATGAGGATAAGGATGAGGATGAGGATGATGAGGATGATGAGGATGATGAGGATGATGATGATGAGGATGGTGATGATGATGATGAGGAGGATGATGAGGAGGATGATGATGATGATAATGATGATGATGATGATGAGGAGGAGGAGGAGGAGGATGAGGATGAGGATGAGGATGATGAGGATGATGATGAGGATGATGAGGATGATGAGGATGATGAGGATGATGATGATGATGATGATGATGATGCTGGTGGTGGTGGTGGTCTTGGTGATGATGACAAAATGATAAAGGGGTGCACGGGACACAGAGGGCCAAAGAGGCTTTGATCACATCGAACCTACCAAATGCTGATGGTCTGCAAGGACAAAGGTGCCGCAGGACTGTAGGCGGTGTCAGCATCTCAGTTACTTGCAAGCAAAACACTTCTCAGGAACAGAATCACATTCAGCATATAAACAAAGGCTCTAGCACAGGGACCAAGGTAAGCGTTGTGATGATGTCGGATGCTTCAAGCAAAGATACATGCAATAGCAAATTCGTCTTGAGCATACCATACCAAGCAACTGCGTAAAATGCCGTCTTGAAACACACTTACCATCAAGGCTCGAAAGCTCTGGAACACGGACCAAGGTAGGTATTGTCATCATCTCAAGTGCTACAATCAGCATACGCACATGAAGCAGCTATAGTGCCGATTGAAGCAAACGCAATGCACCTGACTCAGTCCCGTCTTGAAACACACTTACCATCAAGGCTCGAAAGCTCTGGAACACGGACCAAGGTAGGTTTTGTCATCATTTCAGGTGCTACAATCAAGCATACGCACATGAAGCAGCTATATTGCCAATCGAAGCAAACGCAATGCACCTGACTCAGTCCCGTCTTGAAACATAATTACCATCAAGGCTCGAAAGCTCTGGAACACGGACCAAGGTAGGGTTTGTCATCATCTCAGGTGGCTCAATCAAGCATACGCACATGAACCAGCTATATTGCCAATTGAAGCCAATGCAATGCAACTGACTCAGTCCCGTCTTGAAACACACTTACCATCAAGGCTCGAAAGCTCTGGAACACGGACCAAGGTAGGTTTTGTCATCATCTCAGGTGCTAGAATCAAGCATACGCACAGGAAGCAGCTATAGTGCCGATTGAAGCAAACGCAATGCAACTGACTCAGTCCCGTCTTGAAACACACTTACCATCAAGGCTCGAAAGCTCTGGAACACGGACCAAGGTAGGTTTTGTCATCATTTCAGGTGCTACAATCAAGCATACGCACATGAAGCAGCTATATTGCCAATTGAAGCAAACGCAATGCACCTGACTCAGTCCCGTCTTGAAACATAATTACCATCAAGGCTCGAAAGCTCTGGAACACGGACCAAGGTAGGTTTTGTCATCATCTCAGGTGCTACAATCAAGCATACGCACAGGAAGCAGCTATAGTGCCGATTGAAGCAAACGGAATGCAACTGACTCAGTCCCGCCTTGAAACACACTTACCATCAAGGCTCGAAAGCTCTGGAACACGGACCAAGGTAGGTTTTGTCATCATCTCAGTTGCTACAATCAAGCATACACACATGAAGCAGCTATATTGCCAATTGAAGCAAATGCAATGGAACTGACTCAGTCCCGTCTTGAAACATACTTACCATCAAGGCTCGAAAGCTCTGGAACACGGACCAAGGTAGGTTTTGTCATCATCTCAGTTGCTACAATCAAGCATATGCACATGAAGCAGCTATAGCGCCAATTGAAGCAAACGGAATGCAACTGACTCAGTCCCGTCTTGAAACACACTTACCATCAAGGCTCGAAAGCTCTGGAACACGGACCAAGGTAGGTTTTGTCATCATCTCAGTTGCTACAATCAAGCATACACACATGAAGCAGCTATAGTGCAGATTGAAGCAAATGCAATGGAACTGACTCAGTCCCGTCTTGAAACATACTTACCATCAAGGCTCGAAAGCTCTGGAACACGGACCAAGGTAGGTTTTGTCATCATTTCAGGTGCTACAATCAAGCATACGCACATGAACCAGCTATATTGCCAATTGAAGCCAATGCAATGCAACTGACTCAGTCCCGTCTTGAAACATACTTACCATCAAGGCTCGAAAGCTCTGGAACACGGACCAAGGTAGGTTTTGTCATCATCTCAGTTGCTAC